CACCAGTTAAAGGGCAAAGATTGTGACATCACTGTTTGCAGACCTCTGTCACATGATATGCCTCAGTTTGTATGCTAGTGGTACTGCTTGTGTACATACAAATACAAACACAGCTGACTAATTTTCCTTCCTACTTTCCCTGAAAACAAAGAAGTTCAAAGAACTTGCATCTGAACTCTCCACCCTCACTCATTGTTTGTGCAGACATGTGTGCTGTTATCTTGTTACTAAACTTTCTCCATCCTTCTTCTCTTGCTTCCTAACTCTTGCTTCCTAATTGTATGCACACGAGTGAATTCCAGCGGATGGGAGAGGTAGAGAGGGAGGGTGTGATGTCAGAGGTCAAAGTTTAGATTCTGACCTTTGACCTCTTAGTAGAACCCAACTGTGTGGTAATTCTGTGTGTGTGTGTGTGTGTGTGTGTGTGTGTGTGTGTGTGTGTGTGTGTGTGTGTGCGCGCAAACCAAAAGGCTCTCTGTAATCACAATCACAAATGCACACACACAAACACGCGCACACAAGCAAGTGATGCAGGGGGTTACATTGTGAAAATGGGAGGGTGGCGAGGTGGGGTGGGGGTGAAAAAGGGGGAGAAAAATGGGAGCAGATGTTCATCAGGTCTACAAACCCCTCCTCCCTTCCCTTTATTTTTTTCCACTAGTAGTTGTAGCCTCTTATCTGAAGGAGGCTGTGTGGGGCTGTGGAGGAATGACTTCACTTAATCATGAGTTTTTCAATAGGCTGAGTGTGCGAGTGTGTAGAGGTTGTAGGAGCACACACAAGCACAAAAGTGCATGCGCACAGACGTCAGTGTAATGCAGTTGTTTTAATCAGGAAATCCACTCACATCCAATGGTGATGTTGTAATTATGGATTAGTCAGCTCTACTATCTACCTCCTACTCAACCTTCCATTCAGTTCTTATAACCCGCAGACAGCTCTTAGACGTCCTTCCTACTCACTGAAAACCAATATTGTTTGATCATCAAGGGGTTTGTTAAATATATCAGAAAACATGAATTGTTTTTACATCATTTCCCTGGAAACATCTTATTAGACTTGGCGTGCAGTATAGCCTAAATTCAAATATCTCAGGCAATACAACCTCTGGAAACCTGTTCTAATATCTAGTAGATGTTGAATAATCACAAGCTTTCATGATGACTAATTACTCCAGTGCTGAAAGATTACGTGACCAAGCAACAGAATGCATCCTGTGGCACATTTTTATGCACCTGGTGGAATAATCCCAAATCTCTGGATGAACCTCGCTGCAGATCCAGCCTCGACAAAACAATCTCTACTTTCCATCCTTTATTGCCTTCTCTCTCTCTCTCTCATTTCCCCTGTTTCTTCTAAATAACCCCAATCCTGCCCCTTCATCGTCTCCTCTCCCCCCTCCTGCATCCATCTCTTTCCCCCTACCCAGCCCTTCTATCCCACACATTCACCTTGCTCTGTTATTTCCACACTGTGTGTGTGTGTGTGTGTGTGTGTGTGTGTGTGTGTGTGTGTGTGTGTGTGTGCATGGCTGTAGTCACAGAGGGCGGGCCATTAGTTTGTTAGTTGGTTCTGCAGCTCATTGAGCTCATTGTGCTCCAAAGGCCCTCCAGCCCAGCTGGACTCAACAAGAAGCAAGAACTCCCTTTCAAATCTCTCACCTCCTTTCTCCTCCCCTCCCCCTCTCCTTTAACCCCCACTGCCAGTAATCCCCAACTCAGCCCAAAGATTTAGTTTCTTCACAGAAGTAAACTGAACTTGCTAACCAAATAGCCAGCTTATAGCATTTGTTTGCCAAATTAACAAATTACCTCAAGGAACTTGTGTTGCTGACATCGTGCTAATGGTTTGTTGTTTACAGTGTCAGAGGAGGTAAACACACACACACACACAGTGCCCACCTCTTAAGATGTAGAACTAATTAGAGCAACTTCTAATGTCACTTTCTGTTGAAGACACACAGCTGCATTAGCACTGGTTTTGTTTTATCCCGGGACAATACACACTATAATCATTGTGCATCTAAAAGTTCATTTTCATGCCCTTACTGTGCATCTTATAAATTTAAAGCATCACAGCAAGTTGCGGTAAATTTATAGTGTAGCAGTTTACACATTCGCCTAGGAAGCAAAAGATCCCTGGACCGCTTGGAGGTTGAATCAGCAAGGCCATCCAGTGTAAACAATTGCCAAATCAAATGTGTGAGTGGTGCTTCCTTAAGAAGGAGTCACCACTCATATATTTGATTTGCCAAATTTAGTAGCCCAAATTAAAAAATATTGTTAATGTGTTAAAGGATTTTAGTTCATGCGATGACAAAGTGCACCGAGACAATAGCGGCAGGAGACAATATTTGGCAATGGTAGCAGTCTGGTGGTTATGACAGTGTTGCCAAATCGACCTATAGGATCTGCTTGGCCATGAAAGCCCATGGCATGAAGTTCCCCGGCTCAGTTTTTATGCTGACGTTAACTCCAGAGGAAGTTTGGCACTCTGTAGTTACTGAATAAGCAAAGCATTGGTGGCTTTTACACCATGTTCTGTAACTTTACATGGTCTGCACTCTGCTGTGGTTCAAACACACTTTGGAATAACCAGTTAAAGATGATGGACGAATATCTATGGGTGAAGAAATTTCATTAACTGACTACTTGCAGTGCTGGCACCCTGTTACAGTATTACACTCAGATTTATTGAACTCTGTATAATAACCAATTCTTTCCCTATGGCAATGGCACTGAAAACACCTGAATGCAAAGATTAAGAGGTATGGACCAATACTCTTGTCCATGTATGTTTGGACATTACTTCTAAAATATCTGCTAATAAAGCATCACAACAAAAGCAGGGACATAACTCAGAATTACACCGAATCACAAAACTAGAAATCGCTATGAATTTGCCAAAAATTGCAAAGCGATCTACAACTTTTGAAGGGTGAAAGACATACATATTACTTACAATGTGGTACGTGAGATTTAAGAATCTGTGTGGGCACACACACAGTTTATTATCATACTGTTTAATAGCAATTCTGTGCAAAAGCAGCCAATTCATTTGCTTTCTACGGGAAAGGAAAAGTCACAAATAATGTGCAGTTTATTACTTATGTTGAGTAAACCCCCAACCTTCAGACTGTAGAGTGGGCCTGTACCATTACAGCTCACTGGGGGTGGAATAGATTGAAATCCTCTGTCAAACACACACAAACACGTTCGCACACAAAAAACACACACTTAATGGTGACCACTTGGCTGGAGCAAAACAAAGCTTTTCGGCAGGCTTTGTTCTCAGCTGAACTCATCTTTCAAAAGGGACTCAGAGCTACAACTTGGACTCAAGAACTTCTGAGGCAGACTGAGTCATTTTTGTCAACCTTTTAAGATGTTCCTCTGGTCCTGCAGGGATTTCATGTGGGCTGGATATCATTGGGTTGTTAATACCACTTGTTTAAACTTACAAATGAACTCAAGAATTTTCACTGATGCCACAAATGAACCTATTCTAAGGTAAACTTAAAAGTCCTAATCAGAATCAGTTGCAGAAGAAACTGAAAGCAGCTCACTAAGGTTGCAGCCAACAGTTTGCTTGCTTAAGAATGCAGTCAAAATTGGTACGAGGTGTGACAGCCGAAGTCCTGGCAGATGTGTTTGTGCTTGCGTGTTCTTGATGTTTTGTCTTTGTGAGGACTGACTTGTCTTACTGTTGACAGAAGGGCTTGAATTTATGATTGTAGTGTCTAAGGTAAGGTTTAGACTCCCTGTCTTTGTAAAGGTAAAGGGACTAAACCTGTTGTTTTGTGTGTGTGTGTGTGTGTGTGTGTGTGTGTGTGTGTGTGTGTGTGTGTGTGTGTGTGTGTGTGTGTGCGAGAGAGTGGGACTAATCATCTCAAGGCTCTGCTCTGCAGTGGAATTTTTCACACATCTGTCTTCACCTTTGAAATCAACGCCTTCGTTCCTTCTTGTCTGTGTCATAGGGTTAGACTGTCTCCACTTTTCTCCTTATCCACATTTAGTGCCTCAGTTTTCTGTTTCTTTGTTTTGTCCTTGAAATGGCCTTTTCTAGTTATGAGTCAGAAGCAGCACATCTGCAAAAGAAACCATCTGCCTGCATTTTCATTTCCTACTATGCATCAACTGAAAACAAGTATTTCAAGAGAACGGTGTAACAGTTGTCTGATCAAAGTAAACTCAAAAGGCCAGCCCTTGTGTACCAATGAACTAGAGATGTCATAAAACCACATATTCACTATAAGGAAAATACAGTGTTAGCAAATTAGTAAATTACTAACATTTGAAAAAAAATGTACAAAAAAGACAGGGTGAATACAACAATCTGTTCTTTATTTTTAAACCAATATATTGGTTATATAAATTTCCTGGTATAAAGCGGAACAATCTCTTCTTTCAAATATTGTCTTCAGGTGTTCTACTTTCCACAATTAACAGATTTAATTATTAAACCAATTAAATATTAACATTTGTTTTTTGTAGGATAGCCTATCTATTTACAGCTTTCTAAGCTTGTGGTCATGCCCGGATCATCAAGCTACAGCTTTCCTACTATTTCTTAAATTCTTTTTTTTTTTTCTTTTTGGTTGGACCCCCAGTTGTAAATATCCTCAGAATGCCCATTCATTGTGGTGAACCCCAGACTGTCTGCTGAAATGAACAAGAGGGATAGTGAAAGACAGAGGTACATGGAGAAGAGAAGAGAAGAGAAGAGAAGAGAAGAGAAGAAAGAGCAGTTAAAAAAAAGAACTATTAAAAAAAGCTATGAAATACGCAAAACTAAGAAATCTAGCCTATATATTGTGTTTTTCCCAAATCAGTGAAGCTAGGCGATAGATAATGCATATTATACAATCTTATAATCAATTTTCAACTTATAGTAAATAAATGTATTTATTTATTTATTTATTGCATATAATCTCTCATTCTCATCCTTCTTTAGAACCGCAGGATGTGGAAAAACAACTTTTTGCAGAATCCACAGAGGCGTGGGAGTGGCCAACAGTGGTGCTAGGTTTTAAATCCACACGTGGTCCGGGTCTTGGGCTTGTTTAGCACCCATACATAACTAGAAACTTCTGACCATCTCATGCCAGCGAGTTGCCCACGTCTATCGCGGCAGGGGCAGACGGGATCGGACGAAGGTTTTGATAGCTCAGCAAAATGCCATCTTATCCCCTGAACCAGTTTGCTGAGCTGGAAGAAATGATGTGCAAGGTAAACCAAACCCCCATAAGAGCGCAAAAGAAAGTTTAGCGGAGAGCGAAAGTTGGCTAGGTCGGGGAGAGGAGGAGGGTGCTAGCCTGCTAGCTGCGCTGTTACGGAGTTTGCGGTCTCCATGTTATCTTTTCGAGTCTGCTTTAGTGGATAAAATGTGTCAGGCTTTCTCTTTTAAGACTCTTCGTCTGTCTTTTGACTGTTCTGTAACCTGAAAGTTAACTCTGACCAGACGTTAAGTTGCCAGAAAGCAAGTTGTTGTAGTCCATCGCAACTTGGGCCCATGAAATTATCGATTTCATTATCGAGCCTAGTTTGTGATTTTCTCTCAACGCCGGTTAATTAACGTCATTAATTATTAAAGGTCTCTGTTTTCGTGCTAATAGCTTCTTCGATAGACAGTTCGCCAGTAAAGCATCTTATTTATACACATAACCCCAACAAGTTAAGTCACAAAAGTCATGGCTAACAGACTAAAGTCCCCAGTTAGAGCTGTGTTGAAGTGTAGAGGTCCTAAACTTGCTCGAAGTGGAAAAAAAGTTTTGTAATACTTTTGTTTGTTTGTTGTTAAAGTTAACATTGCGCATTTTATTCCGTGCACTGAATGGAAACATTGTATAGCTCGTCTTAGTTATCAGAGCAAAAAACGTGTCTTGAAGGTTTTTTTTTTTGTTTGTTCCTTAGGTTTAGATGGACGAATCCAAAAATCAAACGGAAAGAGGGGTGACGCTACGTATTACAGATTTGAATCTAAAATATCTGAATTTGTCGTGCCAGTACAATGCAGCACAAAATAAGCATATGGATGGATCGATGTGTCAAAAATTTATTTTGACGACACAAGTTGAAAAAGTGTGCTTTTTATGTACTTGTATACAAATGCCCAGTACCTCCCCACCCCCGAAACTTGGTTCTTGATGCTTGAATCTATCAGGGCACCTGACTCAAAATATTTCCAATGAAAACATTTAACAGAAATGTGCAAATAGAGCAGAAGATGTAACCTTTAGTGTTTAGTGGTAGTAACAAAAACATATATTAATGTCTAACATAAACTGGCATAAACTAGTTAGCAGATGTATAAGTTTTAAAATTGCTGAATACTAATAGTAGCTTGTACAGGCTAATGATGTGGACTTTTTTTTTTTTAAATACAGCATTTACTGAATCTCAATCTGAGGGAGCCGAACAGAACAGTGCCATCCCTAAGTCTGGCCATGAGAACACCAGGTTACATCGGCGAGCCATGTCGAAACACTTCATTTTCCCTCTCCTCCCTGTCTTGCCTGCCCACTAATGCTTCGGACAGTGCACTTCTGACCTCCAACCAACGGGGACAGCAATCAGAGAGTGATCTACTTTCCCAGCTTGGTAATTCCACGCAGTGGGAGAAGCCAGGCTTCTTTTCCCAGCGCTCTCTCAGCATGGTAGAGACCAGTGGTGCAACAAGAGCAAGTCTAGGCTGGCCTGTGACAGGCACAAAATCCTCCCAAAGTGACATCAGCTCCGCCACACTGAACACCAGTTCCTCCTCGTCTGTGTCTGCCTCCTCTTCGTCGTCGCGCTATAAAACCGAACTGTGTCGGTCTTTCACCGAGAACGGCTTGTGCAAGTATGGGGGGAAGTGCCAGTTTGCCCATGGACCAGAAGAGCTACGTGATCTAAACAGACATCCAAAATATAAAACTGAGCTGTGCCGTACGTTTCATACCATCGGCTTCTGCCCCTATGGGATCCGCTGTCACTTTGTTCACAACAGCGAGGAAGAAAAACTTTCATTCTCTCGTTCTTCCTCCTCAAGCCTTCCTCAGCAGCTGCCCTCCACCTCCTCCTCCCGCTCCCATCGGCCACGTCTTATCCGGCAGAGTTTCAGCTTCTCTGGGTTTCCCTCAGCTCCCCACCAGGCCTTTCAGTCTGCCCTCACTCCTCATGTTTCTCTTGCCACCACCTCATTCACATGCCCACCAACGGCCTCTTCTCCTTCCTGCGCAGACATTACTGATCTTCTCTCCCATGCCTTTCTAGAAATGGACTCTGCCTTTGAGGCCTCCCCCGCTCAGCAGCACCATCCTCCCGTGGGTCCCGATCCCAGGTCTCCATTCATGCCCTCCCCTGACTCCGGCTATTCTCCGAGTGGGTTATCTCCAACGAGCTCCCCTTCTTTACAGCAGAGTCCCAGTGCTGCGGGGGTCCTTTCAGGGCCACTTGGTGTTAGATCCCTGTCCCACACTTCTCTCTCAGACCAGGACCAGGATGGGATCAGCTCTGCTGGTTCACTGAGCGGCTCCGAATCATCTGGTGGCATTAACGAAGCTAACGGCAAACGTCTGTTAGTTTTCAGTCAGCTCTCTCTTCCTGAGGATGCCACTGGGTTCTGCCTTTAAGCTGCAGATTGCTGGAACATGTGTACATGAGTATCCATATGCAGAATATCCACTGCGCACGTAGCCATACTTAAGAACACAGACCCTTAAACGCACACTCCCCGCTCACACACTGACTGACAACTAAGACATTTTTAGCATTCTGTGTGAAAAAACGACTGGGTGACCTAACACGCTGTCACACTGCACGCCACTGTCATTTGCACAAGGCACAGTGATGCTAAAACTCCAGTTTGTATGTGGCGGATTCACCAAAACGGTATATCTAAAAAACAGATGTTTTAATGGTGTCCTTAAAAACCTTTTGAAGCTTTATCAAAATGATATGCTAGGATGGCAAAGTCCAACAAAGAATTTTGTAATCACAGTGTGAATTTAATTTCCTCCTGTCAGCATACTGCGACAGATCTAAAGAATGTGAGAAAGCCAAAGACATCTGTTTGTTGCTCGTTCGTTTCAGTAGGACAAACACGATGTGACGGTATGTTTAGGAGTTCTTCCATCTAATGTACACTGTATTGTTTATGTAATGTTTATAAGCTCGTGAAGTAGTGTTTTTGTTTTTCGCCCTTCCCTCTTGTGGTTGTACCATCTGGGGGCTGTGTTTAGATCGCTGGCCTCGAATCTGAATGTTACGTTTTTAAACAATGTATACCTGTAGTGTTATTTACCAGGTCTTGTTACGTTGTTGAACCAAGATTTGCTGCTGTGTTTGGAGAGATGCGAGCATGGGGTGAGAGTCTTCTTTTATATCAGGAGAGTAAGCTAGTGTGAGTGGAGGCGTTGCGTTTCTGCGGCTACTGCAGATGCTTTTTGGGTTCTTGTGCATTATTGACAAACCTCAAGCAGTCAAGTGTCAATTTGCCAAATTTAAACCACTCTGCAGCAGAGTGAAAAGTGACTCAGTCAGGAGAGCTTGGGTGCATATGGGTTCATATTGCACGGTTGGGAAAGCACAAGGTACCAGGCGCTGAATATCCATGCCGGGAGCTAGCCAATTAGTTCGATATGAAATGATGAGGTCAGAGCTTGAAGCCAGGTGACTATTTTCTGAGAAGTTGTCGTTTGTGGTGCTGAAGTGTTCGGGGTTTTCTTTGTTGTTTTTGTTTGTTTGTTTTTTATCTCAAACACAAACATTCCCAGTAAGTTTTTGTAAAGTGAGACTCTCACTCCGTCACTCCATCTCTCTGTTATTCAGTATTAATCTTTTTTTTTCTCTTTTCTGTTGATGCCTTTGTTGTTAAGACTGAAAAGTATCCTGGTCACATGCATGCGTAATATGCTCCCAGGTCTTTTTTTCTTTTTTCTTTTTTTTTTCTTTTTTTGCCTTACGAAGCTAGAGTCAGCCTACTGTAGGGTTAGAGGTATGTGTGCTTAGTGTTTTAGAAAATGTTACTTGGCTGTTTGTTTTGTTTTTTTCTGTGTTAATGATGTAGTTGGTCTATTTAAAAACAAAAACTTTTTCATCAGCGTGTTTAAGGCCTGTTTAGTGGTAAAGATGATCTTTAGTAAATTAATTTCTTTAATTTATTTTTAACATATTTATAGAGGACTTTTGAGTTGTTAATGCTTGCATCAAGTTTAATATATTTTGCTTTTTTGTACTGGAAATAAAGGAGTTTGTTTTTTGTTTTGTTTTTTTTAACTGTCTTTCTTTGACTTCTGTTTGCCACCTGCAGGTAAAAAGTGAAGATTTTAACATTTGATGTGCAAACTGCTTTTATTGAATAATGCAGATGTTTAAAAGGAGAAAGGGTGGTGGTGGGGGGGTTTGGTTTTTTTTTTTTTTTTTTAAATATATACTATGCTGGCGTTAATGTAGCGTTGGCAAAAAGGCTCACAGGATGTAAGGTTTTAGGTGCAGGAAACCAGTGAACTGTCATTTCTGCTTTTCGTTTATCACATTTCCCCAGTGACCTGTGCCGTTGAGGTTAACCGTATCTATACAATAAAATAATTCCATTTGAGCTCTAAACCTCATTCATGAAGCTCATCTCAAGTTTATTTCCTCTAGATGGCTAACCTTTAAAGTATTCATGCAGTAGTTTACACTACACAAGTATTCCCTATACTTCCAGGATTAAGAAGTATTCTGTGATGTAGTCTCAAGGTGAAGAGTGTGAAAGCAATACTGATGAGAGCCTTTGAAATCCAGGAAAAGTCTTGGCTTTTTATTTTCCCTACAAAGCTTAGCCTTCGCTTCTTAAAGGGAAAAGTGATACTTGTGGATTTTAAAAACTCAGTGGCTGCTGGAGTCTGAAGCAAAGTCTCGGGGTTAAAAATGAGGAAAGCACTGTGGTCTCTCGCATCCTCGAAGTTCAGGTGCAGCAGTGTGTTTCTGGCAGCAAATTTGCAAATCAAAATGGATTTAAGCGAGTTTGGCAGTGCAGTCATGGCTGTCCCGGCCACTGCGGTCGAGGGTAATACGACAGTGGGGTGTGAATGTGGGAGTGTGGAGCAGTGTCACTAAAATTTCATGTAAAGATGAGATGTCTTTTGTTTGGGGTTTAATCTTACCAATCTTCAGTTTCCGCTTATTTCCTTTCTGCCTTCCCTGATTCCATCCCACATCCCTCACTTTGTGGTTACTTACATCTCCCTTCCTTTTCACCTCCTGCCCCCTCTATACCAGTTTAATTGGAGTGCAATGCAACAGTTCCTGATATAAGACAATCTGACAAAAACACTTTACAAAAAGGCGGGCTTGATTAAAAAAATTAAAATATGATTTCAGGGCTTAAGATGCGTACTCACCCCTGATACTCAAGGAATCTCTCTGTCATGCACACACACAAGGGCTATTATTTTGTCACTTAACATGAGATGGGCCGGCTGTCTGGTAGTGATTAGTGGCCGTGAAGGGTTTAGAGGCATGCATCTGCTGTGTGTGTGTGTAGGCATTGTGTTCTATAGATATTCTCCCGGTTGCCCTGTGGGACATAGGAAAGACAGGCAGATGGCTGTATTCAGGTCCACCGCAGGTCAACATATGGCTGTGAGAGTCTTACTCATACCATGCTTGAGTGGAGGAAGTTGAATGCGCTGGTGTGACGACAGAAAAGTGATAAAAGGGGAAGAAGAAAAGTGGAGATGAAGAAAATAAAGGGAGGGCAGTATGAGAGGATGAAAGCGGGTGTCATCATGTAAGATCATACAGATTAAAAGCAGCAACATATGTTTTTAGGTTTCTCAGATGAAGTAAAACGCGGCCTTTTGCGTTTGTGAGATGTAATGATAATAATAATAAAAACAGAAAAAAATACCTTCACACTTCTTTGTGGACGCATGGAAGTGACACAGCTTACTTAGATTGCTTTGAACCATATTTGACTTTGAATCAATACATAGTACACATTTTAGGGAGTTAAACACAGATTTTAAATTGCAGCTGGTGATGTTTTAGTTTTCTTGTACTTATTTCAAATAAACTGAAACAGGTTCTCTCGCAGCTTCTCACACAACAAAAGACTTCAGTCGGTTCGTGTGGACAGTGTAGCTGAATTGTAGCAAGTCATCAGTTTAGGAATACGAATGCTGGTTTAACTTGCACACCCCCCCAACACCTCCTTTCTTTTCTCCAGCCATGAACACACCCCCTCCTTTTCTTCCGCTCGCATTCACCGTTCTTCTTTGTGACCGCATTTGGTGACATTGTGATGCGAGGTAGAGCAGGAGGAAGGGAGGCCAAGCCGTGTGGCGCGGCACAAAACGGCTGTTGCTCACCGTCCTGAGAGCCAGTCTCAGATTCCCTCACTCCTTGTTTCAGGCATTTATGTACAGACGCAAGGTACTTCTCTCACGCTCACTCTTTCCTCTCCTCATCATCACGCCCCCTCCATCTTTCTCTTTTCTGCCTCCCTCAGCCTCTAATAAACTTCTCCTTTCCACTTTTCACCCTTCAGCCTCCTGTTGAGGCTCTTCATTCTCTCTCCATCTAATTTTCCTAAAGCCCACTCTCTCAGTCTCCTTCAACTTTCTACAATTCGACCCCCTCCTCGTCTTTTTTTTCTGTAATCCATCCTTCTGCTCCCCCCTTCTTTCCAAATGGTATTTGGACTAAGTGTTTAATGAGTTGCAACAAATAGGCAAAAGAGTGGGCAGTAGGCAGATGCTACACATTTATGCAGACATCTAACTCAATGTCTGTTTTTTTTCTTTCACGTCCAGCCCTTCACTCAGGTTGCTATTACCTAAGATGCACAGCAAGGGTCGAAAGGCAGCATACTTATAAGCAGTGACCTTATTTAGCTTTTTATTTTTTTGGAATTTTAAGCTCATTCAAGTACCCTTATCTTTAGGGCCTCCAAAATAAGAAGATAACCCAGTTACAAGTGCCAAAGACAAGAGAGTCAAGAACATACGCTCACTGGCCAACTCATTAGTTACACCTTATTAGTACTGGGTTAGACCCACGTTAGCCTTAATTCTTAATAGCATAGATTCAGGAAGGTGGTGAAAACATTCCAGAGAGTTCACTGCATGTTGACATGATAGCATCACACTGCTGCTGCAGATGTGCACATTCATTACATAAATCTCTTGTCCTAACACATCCCAAAGGTGCTCTATTGGTTTGAAATCTGGGCAATGTGGAGGCCATTTGAGTACAATTTGAGTTTAAGATGATTTAAAGATCTTAACAACATTACTACGCTACAAACATACTGAACCAATAATACAAGGCAGGATGGATCCATGCTTTCATGCCAAATTCCAGCACTACCATCTAAATGTTACAGCAGAAACTGAGACTCATCAGACCAGATGTTTTTCCAGAATAACTGCTGTCACAGCAGTATGAACAGTTGTGGAAATTAGAATCAACACTACAACCTCTGAAAGCCCAAGCTTGAGCCAGACACACCGAAGGGAAACAAAGTTGTATGTAAAGACCTTTATTGAGCAAAATTTTCCCACCAAAGGCAGTGAAATACTGGAACACAACAGGAGGTATTTTCCTTAGATTGGAGACAGAAACAGAACCAGATGAAAACCACAACATGTGCAATAATGTCAGTGTTGTGCCATATCAAAAACTGTACCAACTTGTGTTTTGACCAACCTTGGAGGTATAGGCAAACAAGGCTTCAAGTTAAGGTTGATCTTTTTGTTATTAAAAGTATAGACTAATCTTAATGCTTAAGAAGTAGAGCAGAGTAAAACCACTTCCTATCTTTTTCTTTTACCTTTCACATGAAAAAGCCTTGATATAAGCTGTAATTGTCAACTTCAAGTCTTTTTTTTTTTTTCTTAAATGGAAATGTTCAAATGTTTTCTATCATAAATTAAAAAAGGAAAAAAAAAAAAGAACTAAATTTATATATGGGTCAGGTATCATGGAATAATTACACCAATGTTATTTGAAGAACTGATGAAAGTAACTGTGATGACCTCAACACTTGGGGGGGTCTGCATAGCCAAATCTGAAGAAATTACTTGAAAAAGACAGAACGGACAACAAGATTCTGGACATACCTCAACAACATGGTGAATCTAAACTCAAAGTATCAGACATATTGTAATCCGATTGTTAAGTGATGACGTGACGAATCCTACTTCCGGGCCTAAAGTAGTCTGCGTTTAATATGGCTTTTGTGTTGTTAACATGTTTAATGTTATGTATTTTCTTCTATATAATCTCAAAAAGCTCCTAAAACAGTCAGTGATCACTGTTGACCTCCCTCGGCTTTTATTACCACTAATCATTTATTTAAGCTCAGTTTTTAAAACCTTAGGATGTAGCTACAGCCCAGCCCATGCAGCAGTATATGAATGAACTACCTCGTATTGTGGATGGATTATCTCAGTTGTTCTCCTGGCTGAAGTTTGGTCCTTTTACAGCATCCTGCCATGCGATTACATTTGTTCCTGACCACCGAGAACACTCACGTTAACTTTTATCGAGTGGAAAAAAAGTTAGCTTGTTTATATTATGCTAACATAGCTGAGTCGCTAGCGGTCACGTAGCAAATCATTATATACCAGCTAGCCAAACTTCAGTAACCCTACAAACGTCACAGCTGTTTTAGCTTTCTGTTTTCATTTGTGTTGGAAGTGATAGCAGAGCTGTACGTTTTCATTTGTTTCCAAAACCCCGCAGTCAGGACATGCTATATTGTATTTAGATAGAAGCTAGCGAGCTAACTTCCTAACTTTAACTCTGTTAAATGTCATAAATTCCATTTTTATGGATGCCTAGATGTTAAACTCAATTGTTACACCTGGTAGAGCAGAACGCTGATCAATTTATTAAAGATGAAAGACTTTAGACAGTTTTTCAACTCTCAGTAATGCCACAGTGATCGTTTGATATATGGACCTGCAGCGGAGTTTAGGCCCAGACAGGGCTAGTGACGTCAGACTGAACAACCGGATAACAGCTGTATGTGTCCCCCTAGTGGCAGCAACAGTAACAGCCTTTCCCAGAGAAGTGATCATTTTATGGTCTTACATTTTATGTTTAACAAACCTTGTTTTGTTGTTTTCTTGTCACAGCATTTTAAATCCATTCAACAAAGTGGTTTAGTCGGGGGGGAAAAAAAGAATAAATAATAAATATTATCCAACTGCCTGACAACTGTATGATTAACTTTCATTGTAAACCCCAACATGTTTTACAGCTTACTTACTAAATTCCAGGAAAAATGTCACATTTAAATATCAATGCTCTAACAAGAGAAAACACATCCATCATGATGAAAAATAACATAGAAATACATTCAAGTCTACTCCACTCTTAAATGTGAGACCACTACATAGAACAACAAATAAGCTCGTATCATTCCACTTGGAAAAATTGTACAAATTATTGTTCTAGAAACGTATTACATTCACATAACTTGAAGAAACTCAAATATTTCTACCAGTGTATTATTCTAGATTTGCATTTTGCCTTAGAAAAAGTCTAAGTGATTCCCACTACTACATGAAAGACTTCTCTCCTGAAGTCAAAACTAAAAACCAGAGCGAAGCACCAGGAATTGGATACAGCTTTTTCTGTAAAGAACAGTAAGCACTGAATAATGAATGCAATCAGCCAGATGTAAGATTGCATTAAATGCCATCCACAAAGATGTTTTCTCTTGACTTATGCGGATTGTCCTCCTGTAGTATTTTTGTTTTTTAAACTTTTTCCAATTTTCAGACTAAGCACTGCAACACATTACAAAGAATACATATCCTGTTAATAACTACACATTCACTTTAACTTCATAGTATTCAGTTGGAAGCCAGTGCTTAGCAGATAAAAAAATAACTTGAGTTGAGAATGTAAAATAAGCAAAAACCTTCAAAACCAGAATCAGTATCCAAAAGGATTTATATTTGAGCCCTGGCTACCTGTTTTTACCAATCAGTTGTACCTGGTGGTCAGCAGAACGTCAGCAGTCCTGCTGGACCCTTTTGTGGATGTTTGATTCGCTTTATGGCTTCACTCATCAGTGGGAAAACAGGAACCATTATTTTCTCTTTTGGCACCATGTGGGCAGAAGATTAGGGCAACTTCTGGATGACCACCTGAAACTTACCTGAGAAGATAAAAATGCATAAAATATTATCCATCTGTACTGTCCTTTAAGGTACAGGACTATGCAAAAGTCTTGAGCCACTCCTCATTTCTTTATATTTTCCTTCCAATTAGACAGACTTTCTTGTAATCTTTTGAAGTTGTCTTGCACAATATAGTTGTTTCTCAAGATCTTACAAAGGAATGTTTTTTGTTTGTTAAGCTACTTAAAAGTGACCTGTGACTCATTCAAGCATAAAAATAGCACCTAACTCAACAGATGAATCTGTGTTGTGTCTACACATAACAGCTTGGGAAAGACTTGAAATTGTATTATTCGACACTCTGTTACTAGCAGGCTGTCGTAAAAACTCAATTTAATCCAGTTTCTTTGGCTTAATCTACAAAAAAGTGTTCAAAATAACACAGTTTGACATAAAAAAATAAAAATAAAAATAAAACATTTTTAATTCACACATCACCAGCTGGTAGTATCTCCCCCTTGAGTTTTGAATGTCTTTCAAGAAGCCTGGAGAACTATTCCTGGAGACTACTTACATAAAGAAGTTACAAGCAAGCTTGCCTAAAAGAGTTGGTCATGCCAAACTTTGACTTTGCTACTGCACAAACTGTGTTTTCGCTTTATTTCCATGTATGTTTGCACAGGTTTTGCTGCAGCTATTTCCCATTTTCCAAGCAAAATATGAAGAAATGAGGGGTAGCTCAAGACTAGAACTGCTAGTTATGTGTACATTATAAATCTAATTAAACCAGACCTAACAGAAGCTCACAAGTACAGTAACAATGGTTGACTGAAAGGTAATAAGCATGTTAGTCTGACTAACTTTTCCTTACAGTAAAATAATTATGTTTTCACAAAGCACTTACAGGATGGCATGACGGAGACCTCAGCTGTTACCACACTCTCCAAACCCAGATTAGATAGGGCTCCTCTCACCACACCACATGAAAAAGCAAGGTACTGAGACACACACACACAAATTAGTCTCTATTGCATTATGACATTCAGGTTTTGTTGGCTGTATGCCAAAATACAAACCCTTAAGCACCTAGTGATACTTGTTCTATATGTAGTCTTTAGGAATGCAGGAACATGAGTGTGTCTGTGACTATTCTAACCTTAGGAGCCTGATCAAGGTACTGCTTTCCATTGGACAGCTGGGTCAGCAAATTAAACTTGTTATCCTGCAGAACATAGGTCCCCTGGTGTGGAAAATAAACAAGACATTATATTAAAAGATAACTCAATTTAACCAGCAATACATGTGATTGTATTTCCTGATTGCTGGGAAAGGTTCCTAAGATTTAAGAGTTCAATTTAACATCCATATGAATACAAGGACCCAACAGAAAACTGCACTGTAACAAAATGTTCAATGTTTAGGGTTTTAAAGTTGCAACAATAGCGGATAGACATGAAAGTAAAAGATAGAGAATTTTTCAGAGAAAGAAATCCATCTAAGGCCTTTGTTAACTCTCAAGCGCTTTTGTTTATTTACAAGAAAAATCAACAGGACACGTTTAAGTCAACTTTGACACTAAACCTTTTAGAGACGTTTATGTTCTTCATCACAGTAATCATCCACTACAAACAGTGATGCATTGCAAAGTCTCTGTTTCACAAGAGATCAAATTTCCTGTTGTGAAGGCCAAAAACGTCTGTTACAGGATATATAACTGAAGCTTGAACAAACACTACACAAAACCTACTTACTAATTTGGTAGTAACATACTGCATGGTGTAACATTTTACCTGATGATTTGTTCTGAGGTTGTCCACCTGTCTCCTAAACACCTTAGTCCAGAAGTCTTTACAGATAAATTTCATTATATCCAATTCATCCTTAAAGCTGGGAGAGTCCCTGGTCAACCTAGAAAGAGCAAACAAGTGATGAGACGCTCACTATAAAGGAAGACTCCACTTAACTCAGCATTTACATGTGTGACTTACCTCTCAATAAGTCCTTGTCCCACTCTGAAGCCCATACCTTCCAGGACAGAAACACAGACTGCTCTGTCCTAAAAAGATGAAATGCAAGCGATTAATTTGAACAGTATATCACGTAAAACTGTGAACATGATGTCACAATATTATAATATAAGGGGGAGCTGTGTTCTAAAACCGGAAAAAATTGTTTTACTACATGACATTATAGGCAACTCGATAACACACCTTGTTGTCCATGGTTCCTTTGCTGGATTGCTGCTCCTTGTAAACATGTGACACGATCTCCATGTGGAGAAATTCAAACAGAGTCTCGTCCGCCATCCCTGGTGAACACACAATAGTGACAGTCCGATGGCTTAAATGTGCTCCAACAGACAAAACCAGCAATAAATATGAAAATACCGAGCAGCAGCTTAACGGAAGCTAAGATGGTTAGCGCCAAACAGCTAGTACGGTTCACTAACACTGCCCCCCACGCTAAAAATAACTATTTTTTATTACTCCCGTATATGGAAAGTTCTGGAGAAGGAGGTATCATATTAACGTATGTCATACATTTCTTTAATCTAAATTAAACCAGCTGAAATTGTAAATTGACAGTACCTGTAAAGTGACTGTAGCGCACGAAGTCCGCTTCCTGGTTGGCGCTCGATATAACGGCCAGCTCATTCCTTAAGTTGTACACACGCGGAGTTAGGAGTTTCTAACTTAAAACTGGTAACATGGAGAAAACATATGTATTTCATGTGCCACAACAACCAAAATTGTGTGATAAAATTGTTATTAATAAAACAAAACAGTTGTTTTCGTGTAATATGTAATAACAAACGTCCAGCTTCTCCGAAAGCTATTACCAGCCGGCGCTAACTTTCGACGTACGCCGGTGTAATGTACAAACAGACTCGTGAGCGCTATCATCCTATTCTGGGCTGAAACGTCATGTCTTGAATGTCCAATAGGCATGAAACGTCCGTTGCTACTTCCTTGTTGCTCATGTGATTTGTGTTTTGGTCTTTCAGGGAAGGTTTGTGACTTTTATTTTCATTCCAATGAAGTCTGCATTATATAAGACACATTTAATGGCATTGCTATTTCTAGCTGAATAAACCTGAAGTAAGATGTTGTTTATGTTTTCGCAGTCATGGCCGGCAGGTACCCGATAGTGGTCCAGGGCGAAGCGTCTGAAACAGACTCCGATGATGAAGTCTACATCACCTCTCTGACTCCCTCGGTCGGAGCCAAGGTTGTCCTGCATGCGTTATCCTGTATGCGTGGTTTTGAGAGTGATTTATGCACTTCAGCCAGTGACTTAAAATTTAGATTCAGCCATGAATCTACATTTTAATTTATTTTTTGTATCTTTTTATGGATGCTTTCAGGTTCCAGGGGAGGCGTCTGAAACGGACAGCGAGGGTGACCCGGAGCAGGCTCCTGGGAGCCATGACAGCGCTCAGATATTAAAGAGAGACCTCCCTCCTCTAATTGTAGTTAGAGACCACCCTGACATGCACTCCATAGTGGAAGACAGACCGAGCCCCTCACACAGGCCACACGGTAAAGATGAATAAAAACTCCAGTGCTTATTGTGTGAAAGTACGGCCAACCCAATCCAAGACTATGCATACTAGTCTTTTCTTACTAGTTAACAATTTCAAGGTTGTCTCATATGTATCGGCTTTGTTTTAACAACACTGAGATGTGTTTGACAGTTTTGAGAGGATTTGGAAGTGGGCCTTTACAGTGTCTCGTCACAAATTTAAAAGTGAACTTAAAGACCAATCTAGTTTTGCTCTGAGTAACTTCAGCACATAATTCTGTTTTCAGGTGAGACCCTGTTACAACAAAAGCTGCAGGAGTCTAACAGCCGACTGTATGCTGATGTGGGACAGACACTACAACAAGTCTATGGCAGTGCCAGCAGGGAGGTAGGTTGATATTTAGATATACAAATTGCATAGCTATACAGCATGCAGTCTATATTATATTACAGCTGCAGTGTTTAAATCAGAATACCTTAATTATCCCAGGGGGGAAATATAAATGTGAAAGACAGAAAATAGAATAACAATAACAAAAACAAGTAAAACTGCATTTTTCAAATATTCCAAATATCAAATAATGCTATATACAGTTTACAGAAGACATTAGAAGTGAAACTAGTCCAAATCTCATAAGGAAAAGTTATGAAGGATGATGGTCACAAGTTGAAAGGACTTCCTATGGAGTTCTGTGGTGCATAATGCTTAAAAGTGTATTTTACTGAACATGCTCCTGTGACTCTTCAAGCGCGATATGTAGAGGGTGCTAAAAGACTGTCCATTATTGACTTTAACTTGGCCTGCCCTCCTGGTTTTTTTCTAAAACCTGTATCAGAGAGTCTCCACACTCAGAACATTACTGTCTTGGTGGATCCATTTACTGAGTCCGTCATTATCCGCTACCCTCTAACCAACTTTGCATCACACCACAGAATAGAGGATGTCACTGGCCACCACAGACTTATAAAATATCCTGAGCTTTGTCCAGTAGATGTTAAAGGGCCTCAATCGTCTGAGAAAATAGAGATGGGAGAAGCCTTCCTTATAGATGGCTTCTGTCCGATTAATTGACAATGTGAGCACCGTGGTGTTGGTCATCCTCTACTGTTTCGGCACAGACCCTATGAAGGGGAATAGGGTTGTTTGCAAAGGTAAGTTGCAGATGGTTTTGCTTACACGACGTCACAAGGTTCTTCAGTTCTGTACTCTTCCTCATTGCCGTCTATTACCCATACATCCTACTACTGTAGAGTTATCAGAAAATTTCTGAAGGTAGTAGATGTCTGTGAAGTAGGGCGAAGAGAAAGGGAGAGAGGACGGTCTCCCGTGGATACTACAGTGATACTTCAAATGATAAAAAGTAGAACAGATGTAAATATTTTGTCTGACTAGTAGTTAACTCGCTGATTAAATAGATGCTGCAAATTCAGAATATTAAGTTATCTGGCTTTTTCTTTTTTTTATGTGAAAGGTGCGCAGTGCAACATCACAGCTGAATGCATCGCAGAGCGCCATCATCAACGCGTCCCACAGCATCAGATTAATCCTGGACGACCTGAAGGCTGTTTCTGAAAAGATTGACATCATCACCAGCTATCAGATATTGCCTGATATAAACATTAATCATTTAAATAATTCTACTGCTCCTGCACCTTAAATTGTTTCTTTCAAAACAAACATATTGTGATGTTTGATCATTGTTATGGGTATATTTTCTCCGAATACCAGAGTGAGCTGGACAAAATAACACGCTGGCTTCTTTATCTAAAAAATGCAGTACGTGTACATACATGGATTTAACAATCACACACTACACCTGTTCTAATGCTAGCCGTCCTCGTTAATGGAGTTACGATAGTTCTGTCATTTCTTGATTTGCAGAGTTACACTTGGATTTATATTTTACATAGAACTGGAGAGGATCCACTTGTTCCCTCCAACACTGTTTTTATGTCACTATTTGATGATTTTTTTATGAGGCACATCCTGTTCTTTCCCTGCTGTTTGCCAGTCCTCTGTGATGGGTCAAAGAAGTAGGCTTGCAGCTATAAATAAAAATTTGGGTTATTTCTTCCTGTGTATATAAAAAATGAATGTTTGCTTCAAAAAATAAATGCACATATACACCAGAATACTGCTCTGTTGGTGTGCAAAGACAAATTTATTTGCAAAATTCAGTTTACAAAACCACATCAAACAAGCAGGAAACATCCATACAGTATAAAAGCAATGTTCTTTGATCCTGTTGATTTTCTAATAAAATGCAGTGTAATTATTCTCTACAATTCTTAATGAATCTGGAAATAAAGTGGGAACATTGCAGACACAATTTGCAAAGAAAGATCATATGCGGAACATCTGTCACTTTGTGCAATTGAACTTCTGTAATTACAGCTGCTCTCAACGGCTTTATATAAGTGACTGCCAGTAAATTATTCTCCTTAATATCAATAATGTAACACAAACATTATCAAAAGACAGGACTCTTGCAAGAGCTATAAATCCTTCTGTTTGGTGTGTTTGTAGTTGCATCAGACAGGGGTGTAGATGTACACTAACACCACAACCAGCAGGTTGAGCACTGTGCCCACAATGCCCACAAGGCCGAGCAGGTGATCAGGGTCAACCTTGCACATTACTGACTGATGATTTGCACATACAAGATCGTCCGACACCTGAAAGACAGAGATGTACAGTAAAGTGAGTCGCTGCTGTGCAGAATGGAAACAGAGTAGGGAAAGCACAGGTATGTGTGGGGTTTTTATGTTTAATATATTTACTGCTATTAGTCAGTTGACTGTATTGAAGAGGATTTATGAATGGGGTTATATATATATAATAAACAAATGATCTGTTTTGGAAGTATTTTTTTTATCTCTGCATTATTGTACCCACATTATCATTAATATAGTCCTTTTTTTTTAAATGCTTATAAAATTGTGATATATTTGTTATATTTGTTACAACTTTAGCCGCCCTCTTGGCCAGATCTCTCTTAAAAAACACACTTTTAATCTTAAAGAGACGTTTTACCCAGATAAATAAAAGATATAAAAGTCACTTTGCCAAAAACCGATTGCAGCTTCTACTTTGTGTTTGCGATGTTCTCTCTGGCTCAATCATCATTAATAAGAGATATGTTGGACTTATTTTTGACAGATTGTAGGCCATCTATCTATAGAATAGAATCTACCAGTAAGGGTCTTATACTATGAGATTGCGCAGGAATTTACATATTTACAACAGTTGTAAAAAACGCAGAATGAAAAAATAAAGTTACATGAAAACAGTAAAAACAGCTAGCACTGTGTAAGAGAGAAGTGCAAATTGAATAATAAATAATTTGTACACTATAAATCTATGACAAACAGCTCCATGAAGGTATAATACAAAATTATGTTTGGGATCCGATGCTTGACAGCTGTTCACCAATCAGAATAAAGAGTTATTATACAGATTTATAGAGAATAGCAGGAATGATTTCCTGAAGCATTCATTATGGCAGCGAGGTTGAATCAGCCTGAGGGAAGAGTAGGAGCTCTTCTGCCTCAGAAGTCTGGACTTAGATTTAATTATACCCAAAATGTAACACTTTAAATTCCTGCACAAATTCTGGAAGATGTTCAATTTTTGATAGAGCTGAGCTGTATTTATTTTACCTTCTTCTCCCACAACGAAAAGTCATGATTTCTATTGGATGTGACATATATCAGCCACCAGATGGCGTCATTGTCACATGCATTACACCAGCCACAAACCAGACCTCTGATCAAATAAAACATTTCTATTCGGTTCTATTCCGTTCCTTGTAATTAGCTCCACATCTGGACACATTTCATGTCCCGAAAAGTTTTACATTTGATAAAGTTATATCTAAGTTTTTTTGTTTGTTTTATTAGACATGCAGTAAGAAGTATTATATTCTTTTTTTGTATCTATGATTTGTTCACATGTAGATTTGTATCTGTACACATTTTATGTCCCACTTGTATTGAATATAATAAATATGTCTCATGTAAGTTATTTGACCCATATGAGCTATTCAATTACATTCTGTCATTTGCACTCAGGTGCCTATTAGCACACACTTTAGTTTCTTTCTCTGTCTTTTAAAAGTGATATCTTAAAAAAAAAACAGTCTTGAGGAGTTAAAATTTTTATTTATTTAATATATTTTGTTCTTAAAGTTTATAAACATAAGTCACCTTTCCTTTGGGGAAAATAAAATACTCATAATTTTGTGCACTTTACCTCTCTGGTGTTTCTTTCTGGTGTTCTCTTTCCTCTGTCGTCCCTTGGCTCCAAACCGGGCTCCATTTTTCACGCTTCAG